GTTTTCATTTATATTTAGTTTTTTCAATTTTTAGTATATTTTACAGTTTTCATTTTTCATTCATTGTTTATTTGCTGGTTTTGTTGCTATTGTTCATGTTAGGATGGTATGTTTTGTTATGTTTTGTTTCTGTGCCTTGGTGTGTGGTGGGCGTGTTTCTCTTGCTTTCCCTGCAGGCTGGGCGGAGCCGACCGGAACGAGACAATCAAGCGCTGACAGCTGTGGCTCGTTTCCTCATCAGCAGCCAGCCGTACAAATACGGACGGCTCACAGACCTTCAGCGCCAGATGATTGTGATTCCTCACCGTGGTACAGTCAGGCCGCTTAGCAAGCAACCTCTCGAGCAACGTTTCAGCTAAGTTTCGCAGTTTTCGAGTATTTCGAGCTTAATGTTTTTTCCCTCTGCACTTCCAGCGTCTCGTCTCGGCTCCAGTCCCAGCACTCCTCCCCACACGCCTGCCGCCTCCCGTCTCTCGAGCACACTTCACGGGACCACACGGACACGAGCACCTTCACCCACCGGATCACCGGCAGAGCACCAGCACAGGGAAGATTTGTCACGGGATACGGAGTCGCACCAGCACCATTCCTGGAACACCGCACCCCCACCTGCCACCTGGGATCTCCAGCACGACACCCCCTCCTGCCACCTGGGATCACCACCACGACACCCCCATCAGATTCCCCACCAGGACACCCTCACTTCCCCCTTCCTCATCAAATAAACCTTTTCCTTAACATCTTACCCTGTCTCCCTTTTTCGTTTGGGTCCACCTGCAGTGATTCCGACACTCGGGTCGTCACAGAATCATCTGGCCCAAAACCATGGACCATGCGAACCCCAGCAACGTTAAGGAGGCCCTGAACGCACAAGGTATTCTGCTCGGAAAGCATGACCAGCTCCTACAAGGACTGATGGACGCCATGCAGAACCTCACCCACAACGTTCAGGGAATCGCATCCCGGCTTGACGGGATAGCCACCCCCAACCCTGGATCCTCCCCCGATGCATCCGTGAGTACTCCTTCCGAAACCGCTCCCTCTTCTCGTTCTTATCGTGAACCTAAGGTACCCACTCCCGAGCCGTACGCCGGAGAGCCCTGGTCTTGTAGCCGTTTTTTGTTAAATTGCCAGCTTGTGTTTGATTTACAGCCATTAAGCTATCCTTCGGATTAAGCTAAACTAGCCTTCTGTATTAACTTGTTGCGTGGGCAGGCAGCTCAGTGGGCCACCGCCTTGTGGCAAAATAAATCCACCCTGTTAAGCTCTTATGAGGCTTTCACCACCGAGCTCCGTAGGATTTTCGACCACTCGGTTAAGGGCCGGGAAGCTCTTAACCGACTGTTTGATTTAAGACAAGGTTTGCAATCAGTGGCTAGTTTCTCCATCTCGTTCCGCATTTTAGCGGCTGAAAGTGGATGGGACGAACCCGCCTTAATGACTTTGTTTTCGCGCAATTTATCAGAGGAACTGAAGGATGAGTTAGCGTCACGGGACGCCCCTAGCTCGTTGGAGGCATTAATTGCTTTAGCTATAAGAGTTGATAATCGTTTAAGAGAACGCAGAAGAGAGAGAGCGGCTAGGGGTAGGAGACTCACTTCGTCTCGACGTCAGCGATTTTGGTGGCCCGGGATGGTCGGAACACTGAGGAGTTTGTGGCCGCATGCACCACCTGTGCTCGAGGGAAATCCCGCCATCAACCTCCGGCCGGATTGCTGCGGCCATTGCCAACACAGAGTGTCGGGCCCTGACACGACCTGTCTAGACGGCCGCCTGGGGCCTCACGGGACAGGCAGGGAGGCACGGAAGCANCCTTGGCCACACCTTTTGCCTGGTTCACCGGATACCTCCGACATGGTAACTCAAAAGAAAAAACTAAATTAATATAAACAGCAAAAGAATCCATATAACTTCACCTTGTAAAATGTGTGCACTCCATAGAACAAATGTGAAGCTAAAGGAAAATAAAGAAATTGAAAATCAAATAAACTGTGATGTGAATGTGAATTGTTTGGGGTGTGGTTGACTGCAAATTAAAAACATGTGTGGTTAAATGAGGCGAGTGTGTGCACATTACCATTTTAAATGCCATGTGTGGCCTTGGCCATCACAATGACCAAGGTGAAAAACCCGGGAGATTGTTAGCCTGGCGAATTCAGAAATTGGATGCAGACAGGGCGATTACTGAAATTCAAACCCAGAGTGGAACAATAACAACAGACCCTCAGGAAATTAATTATACCTTTTCCACCTACTATAAAACTTTATACACATCAGAATCTTCAGAAAATTTGGCAACACAATCAGATTTTCTTGATGATCTCTGTATTCCTTCCATTCCTAATGATGCTAAAAGGCATATGGACAGGAAGCTAGATGTTTCAGAAATCGCTGATGCTACCAGTATGAGGGGAGGTAAAGCCGCAGGCCCTGATGGTTTACCAGTTGATATTTATAAGCTGTTCAAAGGTAAATGAGTCGATCCCCTCTTAGCTATGTATGAGAAGGCCTTTCACCAAGGTCGTCTCCCAGATTCTTTAAGAAGTGCTCTAATAATACTAATTTTGAAACCCAATAAATCCCCTAACATATGCACGTCGTACAGGCCCATTTCACTACTTAATGCAAATACTAAAATAATTGCTAAAGTGGCTAGAAGAATGGAAACGGTGCTTCCAACTGTGATCAACCCTGATCAGAACGGCTTTGTGAAAAACCGTCAGTCCTTCCATAATGTTAGACGTGTGTTGAATCTGATACATACAAGAGAGGGAGCTTCTGATACCGCCATTCTGTCCCTAGACGCAGAAGAAGCCTTCGACAGAGTGGAGTGGAGCTACTTGTTTGACGTGCTTTCACACTTTGGCTTTGGAAACTATTTCCAAAAATGGATAGGAAAGGTCTGACTGGACCCTCATTGAATTATGCATTTCTTTTCCCCAAAGAAGGGCTATTAATGGAAAGAAACAATGCAATATTTGAGTTAGAAGTTTTAATTTGTTTTCGTCTGAACTGTCCTTAATATCTTTGGAATTGCCCTCCACCACCACCTCCAACATAAAATGGTTTGGCCTCTGATCAAAATGTGATGTCCTTTTATTGGAAGTTCGGATTTTGCACTTCACACATCTAATATCATCTTGTCCCGGGCCCAGGGAAAGCTGTCAGCTGGCCTGATCTCAGGTATTAAAATATGGGACACTGAACATCGAATTGTTATGTATGCTGATGATACCCTTTTACTTCTGACAGACCTCAAAAACTCAATTCATAGCCTGACTAATTTAATTGTAACATTTAGAAAATTCTCAGGCTTCAAAGTAAATTAAACAAAATCCTCTATCATGTTTTTGAATAAGCAGGAGAGGATAAACCCTATGATAGCTCACCCTTTCAATAATGCAGTAAATGGGTTTAAATATCTTGGTATCACCATTACACCAACCATTAAAGAATTAGTATCCAGTAACTATGATTCTATAGTTTCTACAGTAACTGAATCCATGAATACTTGGTCATCTTTGCCAATCTCTCTATTGGGGCGTATTAACGTAGTCAAGATGAACATATTACGAAGGTTTCTGTACCTATTTCAATCGATCCCTTTACCCCCACCACCGCAGTTCTTTTCAAAAATGAAGCA